TGTCAAAAAAACAAAAACAAACCAACAAAAAACCCAGCAGGGCAACTGAATTGGTTTATTCAACAAGTTAATGGCATAAATAGAAGAAACAGCATGCACATGGGGAAGGCTGTTCTACATGCTGAGATTTGAGACATAAGCAAATGCAGTTTGGACCCTGATTCAAACAAACCAACCGTAGAAGGCCAGTCTGGGGCACGTCAGGGAAATGTGAATATGTACTGGCTATGAGATCATATTTAGGAATTGATGTTTTGTTTTTGCCTCCCTAGGGATGAGGCATGTAAGAAATTAATGTTGCCGGGCGCGGTGGCTCACGCCTGTAATCCCAGCACTTTGGGAGGCCGAGACAGGTGGATCGCCTGAGGTTGGGAGTTCAAGACCAGCCTGACCAACATGGAGAAACCCTGTCTCTATTTAAAAAATACAAAATTAGCCGGGCATGGTGGCGCAAGCCTGTAATCCCGGCTACTTGGCAGGCTGAGGCAGGAGAATCGCTTGAACCCAGGAGGCGGAGGTTGCAGCAAGCTGAGATCGTGCCATTGCACTCCAGCCTGGGCAACAAGAGCAAAATTCTGTCTCAAAAAAAAAAAGAAGAAGAAGAAATTAATGTTAATGAGTAGGAGTGGTCAGAGGCTTGTGGATATGTAAGAATTCTTCTTTTTATTATTATTATTATTTTGAGACAGAATCTCACTCTTTTGCCCAGGTTGGAGTGTAGTGGTGCAATCTCAGCTCACTGCAACCTCCGCCTCCCAAGTTCAAGTGATTTCTCATGCCTCAACCTCCTGTGTAGCTGGGATCACAGGCGCCCACTACCACCCACGACTCCTTTTTTTGCATTTTTAGTAGAGACGGGGTTTCACCATGTTGACCAGGCTAGTCTTGAACTCTTGACCTCAGGTGATCCGCCTGCCTCGGCCTCCCAAAGTGCTGGGATTACAGGCGTGAGCCACCATGCCCGGCCAGAATTATCCTTGTTTTTTTAAACATGAATGCTCAATTTAGAGGGCTAAAAGATAACCTATGTGTTTTTGTGTGTGTGGTTTTTTTTTTTTTTAAGACAGAGCCTTGCTGTCGCTCAGGCTGGAGTAAAGTGGCATGATCTTGGCTCACTACAGCCTCTGCCTCCCGGGTCCAGGCAATTCTCCTGCCTCACCCTCCCCAGTAGCTGGGATTACAGGCGTGCACCACTAGGCTTGACTAATTTTTGTATTTTTTTTTTTTTTTTTTTTTTTGAGACAAAGTCACTCTGTCACTCAGTGCGGTGTCGCTCAGTGGAGTGCAGTGGCATGATCCTGGCTCACCGCAACCTCCGCTTCCCAGGTTCAAACGATTCTCCTGCCTCAGCCTCCTGAGTAGCTGGGATTACAGGCACCTGCCACCACGCCCAGCTAATTATTGTATTTTTAGTAGAGACGGGGTTTCGCCATGTTGGTCAGGCTGGTCTCAAAATCCTGACCTCAGGTGGTCCATCACCTTGGCATCCCAAAATGCTGGGATTATAGGCATGAGCCACCACACCCGGCTACATATGCAGTTTCTTAAAACTACAGACCAGGACAGGTGCTGTGGCTCATGCCTGTAATCCCAGCACTTTGGGAAACTAAGGTGGGGAGGATTGCTCAAGTCCAGGAGATCAAGACCAGCCTGGGCAACAGGGACATTATCTCTATCAAAAATACAAAAGTTGGCCAGGTGTGGTCATGCACGCCTGTAATCCTAACTACTCAGAAGGCTGAGGTGGGAGGACCGCTTGAGTCCAGGAGGTCAAGGTGCAGTGAGCCGAGATTGTGCCATGCCACTGCACTCCAGCCTGGGCAACAGAGTGAGACCCTGTCTCAAAAATAAAAAAAGAAGAGAAAGGAGAAAGAAGAAACAAATGAAATAAATATACCAAATCTGGTAATAGTTGAACATGGGTAACAGGTACAGGAGGGGTCACTGTACTAGTCTTTCTGCTTTTATGCATGAAAATTTCCTAGGAAAATGCTGAAACAACCCCTCTTCTGTTAGAACCAGAGAATGGTAAAATTAACGTCCAGCTTTTTTGTTTGTTTGTTTTC